TATGTGTATATAAGCTACTCTCGCAGTTTATGGTAGCATAATCTGGCGTTGATGGAGCATGTGGCGGTGTCTGGCGCCTGAGGTGCGCGCGTATAAGACCCTGGAGCTGGCCCCGCTGGGGTCAGTTTCACCACAGACGTGTAAGTGACGGTACGCTCTTCCCTCCGCTCTTCCACTCTTCTATCAATTTGAAATGGTCGGTTGGGGATACACCAAGGCAAACGGTAAGTTGTGATGAGTTTTCTGCTTTTGTAAACAATTGATGCGATTGTCTTGCACTCTGAGCCACGTATGAAGATCTTATTCCAAATTGGCAAAGGTACAGGTATTAATGCCTGTACTACACCGACCTTGTGCTATTGTACATGAGCTAATTGTTCTGTTCTGTGTGGTCTGGCAATATAGAGTATTGTACTTAGGGCACAAGGCACTATGCACACTGGCCAGGTCACACGGGGGACTGGCCAGTGGTCACCTTCCCAGGAGCTCCACGAGGTCATATATATTTGTAACTTGACGTATAGAGTTTTCCCCGGAAGATCAGCTTTCTAGTTTTAGCCGTGGGTTGAGCTGTTAGTGTGACCCGAGGTCACCTCTCCCAGCACCCGAGGTCACCTCTCCCAGCACCCGAGGTCACCTCTCCCAGCACCCGAGGTCACCTCTCCCAGCACCCGAGGTCACCTCTCCAGCACCCGAGGTCACCTCTCCAGCACCCGAGGTCCCCTCTCCCAGCACCCGAGGTCACCTCTCCCAGCACCCGAGGTCACCTCTCCCAGCACCCGAGGTCACCTCTCCCAGCACCCGAGGTCACCTCTCCCAGCACCCGAGGTCACCTCTCCCAGCACCCGAGGTCACCTCTCCCAGCACCCGAGGTCACCTCTCCCAGCACCCGAGGTCCCCTCTCCCAGCACCCGAGGTCACCTCTCCCAGCACCCGAGGTCCCCTCTCCCAGCACCCGAGGTCACCTCTCCCAGCACCGAGGTCACCTCTCCCAGCACCCGAGGTCACCTCTCCCAGCACCCGAGGTCACCTCTCCCAGCACCCGAGGTCACCTCTTCCAGCACCCGAGGTCACCTCATCCAGCACCCTAGGTCACCTCTCCCAGCACCCTAGGTCACCTCTCCCAGCACCCGAGGTCACCTCTCCCTGGGGGAGCCGGGTCAGTGTGAGGACCACACCGCGGGACGCTGGGGGAGCCGGGTCAGTGTGAGGACCACACCGCGGGAGCCTGGGGGAGCCGGGTCAGTGTGAGGACCACACCGCGGGAGCCTGGGGGAGCCGGGTCAGTGTGAGGACCACACCGCGGGAGCCTGGGGGAGCCGGGTTAGTGTGAGGACCACACCGCGGGAGCCTGGGGGAGCCGGGTTAGTGTGAGGACCACACCGCGGGACGCTGGGGGAGCCGGGTCAGTGTGAGGACCACACCGCGGGAGCCTGGGGGAGCCGGGTTAGTGTGAGGACCACACCGCGGGACGCTGGGGGAGCCGGGTCAGTGTGAGGACCACACCGCGGGAGCCTGGGGGAGCCGGGTCAGTGTGAGGACCACACCGCGGGAGCCTGGGGGAGCCGGGTTAGTGTGAGGACCACACCGCGGGAGCCTGGGGGAGCCGGGTTAGTGTGAGGACCACACCGCGGGAGCCTGGGGGAGCCGGGTCAGTGTGAGGACCACACCGCGGGAGCCTGGGGGAGCCGGGTCAGTGTGAGGACACACCGCGGGAGCCTGGGGGAGCCGGGTCAGTGTGAGGACCACACCGCGGGAGCCTGGGGGGAGCCGGGTCAGTGTGAGGATAACACCGCGGCAGTCTTTCTAGATAATGTAGCATAATCTGTCTTAATCCTATCTACCTGGGGAAGGATTACCTTAGTATCTAAAATACTAAGGTAAATTTCTCAGAATTGCCTTAGTAATCCTGCCTCATCCCGTCTGAGCCTGAGACACTCAATATTACATGAGAAAGTACATTGAAACTTTAGGAACTATCAGGATATTTTGACATTGACTCTTTACAATGTTAACATTGGTTTGTGATGGGGGGGCGGGTTTATGATGTGGGGGGGGGGGGGAGGGTTTGTGATGTGACGCGGGGGGCAGGGGGGAGCGGGCGTCCCCGGGACTATCCACTGCGGCTTCCTGTGTGTGTCTAGTGCATCACTGATATCATTCTCCCTGGCCAGGTGGAACACCTGCATCCAGTACTGATATGTAGTCATTTGTTTTCTGCATCTGTGGAGCTAATTTACAGGATTTCAGAAACTAAAATTGTCAAGCTTCCTTGACTGAGTGCCTGGCTTGGCGGTCGGTCAAGTTAGATGAGGCTTCCGTAACTTCCGTCAACCAATCTGTAGGGAAATTATAGCATATATTACTGCTAATGTTTCAATACACACAAGAATCAGTCATAAATATCTGCTGTTTAAAGCTAATGAGAATCTTAAGAGAAACGTAAGCAGCATATTACTGTTAATGAGGTGTTCCATAGAATGGTGGTGGCAGGAACACACCCGTGCTATCCCCTATATCCACAATGATGCTTGTGTATGCAGGGACCAAGCAGTTAGGTGGCCCGATCAGGTTAGCTCCTGCTACCATTACCATAATGCCACTCCTTGTCAATGTATGGTTCCCAGGCTAGGTAATGATAACAGTTACAAGATATCAGCTGGATGGTACTGAAGTTCTGATTGCGTATAGGTCTGGAGGTCAGGGGCCAGATTCACGAAAGCACTTACGCAAGCACCTACGAACATGTTCATCTTTCCTCAATCTTTGACGGCTTTGGTTACATTTATTAAACAGTTTACAAGCATGAAAACTTGCCATTCAACTGTTGTTATTGTTATAAACAGCCTCCTGGTGCTTCGGAGCTCATTAAGTGTTTAATAATTGTAAACAAAGCCGCCAGAGATTGAGAAAAGATGTACAGGTTCGTAAGTGCTTGCGTAAGTGCTTTCGTGAATCTGGCCCCTGATCTATTAAATTAGTAGGAATTTAAGGGCCAAAAAGCAATGCATAAATATTCGAAATAAGGCAACGAGGTTTCTGGTAATTATTTCTAGAAGCGTTAGCGATAAAACACGGATGTTATACTTCAGTTAACGCTGGCGCCTGATAGACCTCACTTTGATAATGTAGTTCAGTTTTGGTCGCCATAATATAGACTGGACGGGAATTCACTTGAATGCTTTCACTGATGAATGACAAGGAATTAGAAACCTTCCAAATGAAGGGAGTTTAATTTTCAATCTTTTCTCTAGTGTGGTCGTAACGATCACCTCGAGTGTGGTCGTAACGACCAGCTCGAGTGTGGTCGTAACGACCACCTCGAGTGTGGTCGTAACGACCACCTCGAGTGTGGCCGTAACGACCAGCTCGAGTGTGGTCGTAACGACCACCTCGAGTGTGGTCGTAACGACCACCTCGAGTGTGGCCGTAACGACCACCTCGAGTGTGGTCGTAACGACCACCTCGCTTAGAAACGTCCTTCAGAGAAAACTATTATTTTCCTGATCACGAATGACGTGGTGATGCGTCATCGTCCGGGAGCCCTTCAGACATGTCCCACAGACGTGTCCTCCAGACGTGTCCCCCAGACGTGTCCTCCAGACATGTCCCCCAGACGTGTCCCCCAGACGTGTCCCCCAGACGTGTCTCCCAGACGTGTCCCCCAGACGTGTCCCCCCAGACGTGTCCCCCAGACGTGTCCCCCAGGCGTGTCCCCCAGACGTGTCCCCACAGACGTGTCCCCCAGATGTGTCCTCCAGACGTGTCCCCCAGACGTGTCCCCCAGACGTGTCCCCCAGACGTGTCCCCCAGACGTGTCCCCACAGACATGTCCCCCAGATGTGTCCTCCAGACGTGTCCCCCAGACGTGTCCCCCAGACGTGTCCCCACAGACATGTCCCCCAGATGTGTCCTCCAGACGTGTCCCCCAGGCGTGTCCCCACAGACGTGTCCCCCAGACGTGTCCCCCAGACGTGTCCCCACAGACATGTCCCCAGACGTGTCCCCACAGACATGTCCCCCAGACGTGTCCCCCAGACGTGTCCCACAGGTGTCCCCCAGACAGTCCTGCCTCACAGAGTTACTTGAATTCTACGACCAGGCAACAAAAATAAGGCAAGAAAGAGAAGGGTGGGCAGACTGTATATTTTTGGATTGCCAGAAAGCCTTTGATACAGTGCCACACAAGAGGCTAGTGAAAAAGCTGGAGACGCAGGCTGGAGTGAAAGGGAAGGTACTCTGTTGGATAGAGGAGTACCTAAGCAACAGGAGACAACGAGTCAGTGTGAGGGGTGAGGTCTCAGATTGGCGAGACGTTACGAGAGGGGTCCCGCAGGGGTCAGTCCTTGGACCTATACTGTTTCTGGTATATGTAAATGATCTTCCAGAGGGTATAGACTCGTTTCTCTCAATGTTTGCCGATGATGGAAAACTTATGAGAAGGATTGAAACCGAATATGATAGTAGGAGGCTACAAGATGACCTAGACAGACTGAGTGAATGGTCCAACAAATGGCTGTTAAAGTTCAACCCGAGTAAATGCAAAGTAATGAAACTAGGCGGTGGAAACAGGAGGCCAGACACAAGATACAAAATAGGAGATGAAGTACTTAATGAAACAGACAAAGAGAAAGATCTAGGAGTTGATATCACACCAAACCTGTCTCCTGAAGCCCACATAAAGAGAATAACGTCTGCGGCATATGCGAGGCTGGCTAACATCAGAACAGCGTTCAGGAACCTGTGTAAGGAATCATTCAGAATCTTGTACACCACATATGTAAGACCAATCCTGGAGTATGCGGCCCCAGCATGGAGCCCGTACCTTGTCAAGCACAAGACGAAGCTGGAAAAAGTTCAGAGGTATGCCACTAGACTAGTCCCGGAAGAAAGAGGCATGAGTTTTAAAGACAGGCTGCGTGAACTACACCTCACTTCGCTGGAAGACAGAAGAGCTCTAGGAGACATGATCGCCACATACAAAATTTTCAGGGGAATTGACAGGGTAGACAACGATGGATTATTTAACACGGGTGGCACTTGAACAAGGGGACACATGTGAAAGATGAGTACCCATATGAGCCAGAGACATTAGAAAGAACTTTTTCAGTGTCAAAGTAGTTAATATATGGAATGCATTAGGCAGTGATGTGGTGGAGGCTGACTCCATACACAGTTTCAAATGTAGATATGATAGAGCCCAGTTGGCTCAGGAATCTGTACA